GAGGAAGAGGAGGAGAGGGAGGGGAGAGATGATGTGGCATCCTTATACGTGGGGCCCACATGGGTCCCATGCTTACTCAGTTGCCACGTAGGATAAAACCGGGGTCAAAACCACCGAAGGATCTATTGTGACCGGTTTTAATTAGTTAAGGGACGCCGGATATCTGGTTTTGCAATTGAGGGACGATTTTGTAACTCGACGACAAGTTGAGGGACCTTCGGTGTACTTTTTCCTTTCAGGAGTGCACAAGGCCACCATCTAGACCAATCAGGCCCAACTAAACGGCCTCCGCTTTCACCCATCGGCCCATTATTGTTAAAGTCCCGCATGTTCAAATAATCTATTGTGCCCATGAAAGCCATCTGAAGAGCAGTTACGCAAAAAAAAAAAAAAAATCATGCATCATCACTAATGGTGAAGATCAGAGGCCATACTTAATTCTCCACCCAAACCTCTTTCAATTCACCGTTATTGTCTTTTGGAAAAAGTCCAAATACCCTTCTAAACTTTCGATGGAAGTTTGTCTAGCACTCTAAACATTAAAACCGGACATCCAACCTCTTAAACTTTACCATACCATCCATATATAACCCCTAAGATGTTTTGGATGACGGTTTTGTATATTTTGAAAGCTTAAATGGGTAATTTTAAATAACTAATATAACATATTTGCATATCATCAGTTATAAGTCATCAATTTCTTCTTACACAGTGATATCATACTATTATTACGTTGGTATTTGTTTGTAAATGAGAGCCAATAAGGAAAAAAAAGAAAGATTTAAGTCAAAATTTTAATATATATGTCCAAAGTGAATGACATGTGAGCGAACTCATCCAACTTATATACGAATTAGATGCAAACCATTATGCAAAACCATCTTAGGAGGTTATATAAATGGTATTGTAAAGTTTAGGGGGTTGAATATCCAGTTTCAAAATTCAGGGTGCTAGATGGACTTCCATCCATAGCTTAGGGGGTTATGTGGACTTTTTCCTTCTCTTTTATCCCAGCTGAGGCCACACGCTAACTCCATGTGTCGTTGTACTAATTAAATTCAAATAGCCCACAATATATGCGAGCACCTTGTTTAATGTTGTTTGAATTTTTATTACGAATGTTTATGTGTGGATAATATTTTTTTAAAAAAATGACTTCATTTAATTTAGACATGCATGATTTTGATCCATCCACATAATTATAAGCATATTGTATAAAAGCAAAACTAGAAGTAGCATTGGATTATTGATAACTGGCTATATTGGAGTCAATTTTCTTAACAATGTCATCATATCTACTATTAAAAGCATCTTCTAACGTATCATCAAATTTATAGATATAAGACTAATAGATATATCTATACAACGATCAATTGATTTTTTAATAGCATAGGGTAGATCGGGTGGATCGGAGGTTATCTTGTGTGAAACTATGACATGAGGTAGCAGGATATCTCTTTTTGGAGATGTCTTGATTGATCTTGGCATAGTGTGCAAGCGTTGTCTTCTTCAACGCCACCATTTGCTCTTCAAAGTCTTGCCGCTCCTCCTCGGTCAAGTCCTCCTTGGTGAGATTGTTATCGATCACGTTCTTGCTTATCATGGTTGATGCAGACCCCCATAAAAGGAGTAGTCCCCCAACCCGGAGCTACTTTCCCATATTCCGAATTCAAGGGTTTCAATAAATTACCTACGCGAGTTTGTCTTGGTCCAGGTCTAGAACTATCTTCAACGGTTTGTGTAGCCATAAATTCCATTTAATGATTTGTGTTGACTTTGTATACTATTCCGTTGTAGTTGTAAATACACGATCTTTTCGTAGATCCATTGTAATCTTGAAATTCTATAAAAATGGAAACAGCAACTTTAGTCGCCATCTCCATATCTGGTTTACTTGTAAGCTTTACTGGGTATGCCTTATATACCGCGTTTGGGCAACCCTCTCAACAATTAAGAGATCCATTCGAAGAACACGAGGACTAATTGAAGTAAGAAGTCTCCCGGGGAGACTTCTTACTTCAATTAAATTATTTCACTTTTTTAGTCGGAACCTTAGGTGGTTCTTGGAAGAAGATAGCGAAAAAAATTATCCCTAAAGTATGTAGTATATGATTCGTCTATTTCTTAGAGTAGGACAGGCGAATATTCTTATTCTTATGGTTCCATTTAAGAATAAGTATGCCATACGCCCCGCGGGGATTGTAGTTCAATTGGTCAGAGCACCGCCCTGTCAAGGCGGAAGCTGTGGGTTCGAGCCCCGTCAGTCCCGAACTAGGGTTCAATGAATGGAGAAATTCATCTTTCCTTTTTCCATGAAAAAAGGGGGGCAGGAAGCAAGATCAAATACCTATGGGGTACCCCTATTTCACTTTTTTTAGTTCGCGTTTCTCAGTAAAGAGAGGAGAGTATAGGAATCATAGTCGGAATATTTTAATTAACCAAATATATTAATATACGGTTTTGAGTTACTTATTATAATCGGCAAGTGCACCTAGCAATAATGGGGTCATCTTTTCGCTTATGCTTATGCTTATCAACTAAAATTTAAATTTTCAATATTAAATTTAGAGCTGATTTTAAAGTTTTTTTTTATCGAAGTTTATTTTTCAGCGTTTGCTTTTAGATCGCTAAGAAGACGTATATAAAAGTTTTATTTAAAAATTACTTTTCGTTTGCAAATATGTCATTTCGCTTATTCCACAGCGAAACGATGGCCAGGAATGTTTGGTCTTTTGGTAATCAACCATGTGGACTTAGCAAAAAATTGAGAATTAATCTAAAGCTTCCCAGAACAGCCGATGCAATTGAATCTGCTTTGATTTATTTTTTACTAGGTAACCATGTGTAGTAGATCGAAAGGATATTGCCTCTGATTGGTTTTTCTATTCCTCTAGTCAATTCGTTTATCACGTACTAGCGCGATCGGATTCGATCGGCTAGATCAGATCGGTCAGCAACGTCGGAGGCAAAAATATAGCAACAGCAGAATTAAAGTGTTAAATAACCAGTGGTCTATTCGCTGATCGGAGTAGAAAACGATGATCTCATGCACACAATCATATAGTAGATAAACAATGAACATGGATATAGGGAGAGGCATCACAACTTTATTGATTTCTCATATGTGTATACATCAACCAACCTCTCAAGCCCTCTCTCTCTCTGTATATATACCCATAATAGGAAGAGTCCTGTTAGGATACGTTTCTATATATTTGGTATGAGCCTATATTTATCTCTGGCAGAAGATAATAGTTTCATAACACTCCCCCTTGGGCGAATACCGCGCTATACACATATCTCATTAAAAACTCCATTCAAAAACCCAGTGGGAGGAAAGGATAGGAGAAAAGAGTACATCATCCACGCTAATTATATTGCACTTGTTGCCTCGTTAAAAAACCTTGCGTGAGAAATATTCAAGTAAAAACTCACTAAGGGAAAAAAAGTACAACACACGATTTTCTTGATCGCATAATCTTTAAGATCGATTATTCTTTATAAATAGCTAATGATCTATATGCTTTATTATATTAATCAACTTGGATTAACACAACAATATAGCGGTAGTAACCTTCAAGGTAAATTATCAAAACAATGATTAATTTGATTAATTCTTGGTAAATCAAATTTAAGACTTCCAAGTCTTAAGTATGATAATCAATGTTTAGCATATATGCTCCCCCTCAATAAGACATCCGTTGAAACTTCCATGTTCCAATGTCATAACCACATTTTTATTAATGTGTAAAACAATGATAATAAAATTACCACAATGTTTAATCTTTCGTTTACTTATTTCATAAGTTCTACTATGAACATGAGAAATAAATCAACGTATAGGAGCAATATGTATAACCACTTATTCAAATGTGCAATACAAACAAAGTTTAATCCTTACGGAGGATTATGGGAAAATAAGTTGCAACGATACACATATGCGGTATGTATAAACTGCATATCATTTATTTATTCATGCCTTTTGCCAGCGATATATATAGCGGAATTTAATACATTTATAGCAGGAGAATATCAGTCTTTTCCATGACCAAATGAATCGTCGCTTTTCACCACTTCATTTCCTATTAAGTCTAAACTTCCATGTTCACATAGACTTATTTAGCGACTATGGTTCAATCTCATTGCTTTCTTCAATAGACCCAATATGAGTGCTACTATGCAACTCTACCATGGACTTTGGTTCCGGATCCGGATTCTCATTAATTAGAGAAATATTAGCAATCATAGAAGCGATGTTGTCGACAACTATTCTTTTCTCCACATACTCATTCCTTGAGGTTAATTCATTATAAACCATATCTTAGTCATTTCCCAAACATAAGATGTATGGTTGTTCCGCATCCCAGAATTAGATAGATGTGTGCACTTTAATTCCGGGTTTTCATCTTCATGATGAACCTCTTCATGAGGCAATTCACCTTCATGGTGATTACTCTACAAGAGTTGTAAGGAGTTATTAATGGGTACATTAACAATAGTCGTTAGATCTTAGAATCCGCAGGCATCCCCGTAGATTTTAGAACATTGACTAACATGTCACTCTGCATTTGTGGATATACTATTCAAAACCCGGGGTATACCACTGGTAGCAGAAAGTTTACTACAAGTAAACATAACTTCTGATTACTCCTTTAATTCATAATTATCTGGCAAGCTCCCGCTTCTGGCTTACAGGAGAATAAACTAAACCTTCGAGTTTAGTTTGGTTTGTGCGTTATTCTTACTTATAAAGATCTTTTTCTTCTTGAAAATATAAGGCATCTTTAACACATGGGCTTTTCTCCCCCTAATGTCGATATTCCATCTTTATCTAATAGCATATCACAAAAATCCCCTATCATAGGCACTGGATTAATGGAATTCGGTCCATTTGTATCCCCAACTTCATGTGGAGGCCCATATATGTATGCTATGGTGGTGATATATTGTGGGGACACCCAATTTAGGCTTGGTTCCCCCAAAATCCACTCGTGATCGTCTAGGATTTCAATCACGTACAGATTGATATACAGAACAACTTTCGATTATTTACACAGGTTTGTTCATACAAGCTAATTATACTACTGTTAAAAGGTGAAAAGATCCAAACTAAAATATCCTTATTTGAAATACAAGAAAATCCAAAGTACTAAACTCCTAAACTTCTTCAACTAATAGAACTACAATTAATAAATTCCAAAGAATTTCAAAGAACTCCACAGGCAAAAGCTCGAGTGTAGACTAGCCTAGAAAAACTAGTCGTTGTCGTAGATCTCGCTTCCTTCTGATCTCCTTGTTAGCACGTTTCCTCTATATGTCAAATTATGCAAGGGTGAGTACTTATATACTCAGCAAGACATATTATAAATAATTAAAGGTGAATAGATATGAATAAATAAACAATAATAAAGTAAAGGAATAATAAAAACCATAAAACATATTTATCCTCAACATTTTAATTTTAAAAATACTTATACTTCAGGAGTAGGAATCACCCTAATGACACAACTCCAGAATCGGGAGTACGACACATTCGAATGATTTAATTCACCTCTGCAGAGACTGTCCAGCTTTACCCACACGATGCCCACAGATAGCTACGCTGAGAACAACAGAGCCGTTCGAAGGTCCCACTTACTACTAGTTACTGCACAGTGGGGTCTTGGTTCATCATAGTGGTCGAACTCTTGCCAGGCCTAGGCAAGGTATCTATATCGTCACACTTTCATGAATCCCACTGTTATGAAACACTGCCGCCAAACTCCTTACGCAAGTTCACCCCAATACCGCTCATAGAGCCACCCAACAGTCTTTCATATAGTGGGACAATATACTAGGCTAAGTTCAATTACTTGATTGTGTGGATGGACGCAACTATGTCATTTCCATGGTATAAGGGGGTAATTATAATCCGGTTAAACCACCCAAAACTTTCCAAACTCCCCACACCATCTTCATCATTTATGAACATTCATAATCACAATATTCACAATCTCAATTCATAAATGCCCATTTTAACCGGATTCTTAAGTTTGTAAAGATGTTTGAATAATAAACCACATAAAATGATGTCCAATGCATCTTTCAATAATATCATGTAATCATGCTTAAAAGCATTTAACATCTACCCACGAGATGTTAAAAGAGCAAATATCATGCATCAAATTTAAATATGAAGATTATATCAAGGTTTCTATATGATCAAAATTTTAGTTATGTCTTGCCTTGCGCCTTAAGATTTCCCGTGGCTTTAGCGTAGCCATCTGGGTCCACGTCAGCTCCTTGGATGCTGATAAAACTTGCTGTACGGTCTAACGTACGAATACGAAAAGATAGCAAATAAAGCCTATAAGCAAATTGCTACAAAGAAACGATAAAGTCAAGGAATAAATAAAATTGGAGCGAGGCGAGAGGAAAAAGGGAATGGGTTCAAAATAAATTTTAGGTTGAAAATAAAAGAGAGGTGGTGGTTTCTATAGGTTGGTAATCGAATAAAATTGAGGAAAGGATAAAATGGAGAGGTGGGGTTTATTTGGTGGATTGGTTTCTAGTCGGTGCTAGGGTAGGGTAGCACGACGGCTAGATATTTGGAGTTGGTTAGCCGATGCTAAGGCATAACAGCTAATTATTGGCTCGTCTAGTCGATGCTACAGTTAAGCAGCACAACGGCTAGAGAGTTGGGAAGTTTGTGTAGGTTTGCGGGGTGGAATAGTGTTACTCTACAGCCGTGAGTGGCAGCAGAGCGGTTTGAATCGCACAGAGCCTGAAAGCTAGTGTGCGGCGTGCTGTGGAGGTCGAGGGAGTAGTGAGGCTCCGACCACTATACACGTCGAGGCGTGGGGTGCGAAGAGAGACACTTCGACCTTAGGATTAGGTTATGCCGGGTTTTATGACCAACGGTTTGACGTCGGGGTTTGAGACCACGCGAACGTCTCCATGGAAGGCGTAACGTTCCCACGGCGACTATTTGGTAGCTAAGGGATGAAATAGTTGAAGGTTTTAGAAATAAAAAGGGAATAAATAAATCAAAGGGATTTGAATTCAAAAAGAGGTTTTAAATAGATTAAAGAAATAAAACTTAAAATGGTATTTTAAAAGAAATAAAGAAAAGGGTATTTAAAGAAATTGAAGGATAACTAAAATTTAAAAAGGTTTTTAAATAAAATAATAAATTTAAAATTAAAGGGATGTAAAGTAAAATAATTTTTAAAGGCTAATTAAAATAATTTAAAATTAGAAAGTAAATAAATAAATAAGGAAAAGTGTTTTTTTATAAAGAATTTTAAATAAATTTTTTTAAAAGAATAGGAAATTTGGTATCAAAACGAAGAGTTTGAAATTATATGAATTTAGGTCAAAGTCTCACTGGGATTGGATTTGTGGTTGGAAAGATATGGGTGTCTAAAGATCGAAATTGAATTAAAATCAAATAAAAGAGAAAAGTTACTGTGTAGGGGGCCCACTTGTCATATGTCTCTTCTTCTTCTAATTCCTCCTTCCTCTTGCTTCTTCTCTCTTTCATCACGAACAAACAGAGAGAAGGGAGAGGAGGGGCGCCGGCTCTCCGGTGGATGAAAGACTGTGACACCGGCGGCAACACGTGTTCCCAAGCAACGCGTACTCAGGGAGGGTAGTTTCCGGTACATAGCGTTAGGGAGGTGACCGGAACGGCGGCGGCAAGAGCTTGCTCCGGTAACAAGAGGAGGTGACTGTGATGGTTGGTTTCGGAAGGGGAAAGGAAGGGGAAACTAGGAAAATGAGTTCGCCTCGTCGAGGCAAACCCGATGGCGCAAGGGCTTGGTTTGGGATGCTCTAGGGATGGAGATCGATCGATGGTGGCCATGGCCTAACATGGCCCGGAGAGAGAGAGAAAAGCTCGGTTTGTGTGGGATAAACAAAGGGGGGTTCGATCTCTTATATAGGCGATGAAAGGCGGTTGCCGATGGCGGTTGTGGAGGCGGTTTCAGAGGAGAAGAAGAAGAGGAGCACGGCAGCGGTGTCGGTTTGATTTCTTAGCGGCGACCGGTGGCGTGAGGGAGAGGAACACGGCGCCGGTGGCGGCGCGCGTGTGTGGCGCCACGCGCGCCCACAGAGACGCGGGGGGGGGGGGGGGGGGGCGGGGGGGAATTTTTTTTATTTTTAATTTTTTTTATTAAAAGTTTTACAAAAATAATTTTCCATTTTGAAAATTGACGGAAGTAGTCGCCTACCGCCCTCTGGGAGGGCGATTTTTAAAAATCGCCCTCCCAGAGGGCGGCGAAAATGACGTGGCAGACGGCCGTTCGCTCTCGGGCGACGGCCGTCAACGAAATTTGCAGGCGGCCCCCTTGCCGCCCTCCGCGAGGGCGATTTTGTACTGTGCGGGGGGCCGCCTGCAAATGGGCGGCGAGGGGGGCATGGAATTTTGCAGGCGGCCCCCTTGCCGCCCTCCGCGAGGGCGATTTTGTACTGTGCGGGGGGCCGCCTGCAAATGGGCGGCGAGGGGGCATCGAATTTTGCAGGCGGCCCCCTTGCTGCCCTCCGCTAGGGCGATTTTATACTGTGCTCTATATTTTTGTATAAATATCAATAGTTATCAAATCTTTTTATATTGAAAACTATACAAGATTAAAATCTCCAAGACTGGTAAAATACAATTTTATTATTTTTTAGGGCATATTTGGATTGTTACCGTACAAATATTTTGTTACCGTACAAATATTTTATTAATTTTTAGGGCATATTTGGATTGTTAGTGCCAAATTTTTCTTCACGACCAAATATTTGGTAAGGTAAAATTGCATTTGATCATATTTGGTTTGCTGCCAAAATGTAAAATTGTAGTGAAAATGTTCTACATAATCTCAAATCTAGATTACGTATTACCAATGAATAGGCTTCCATTTTCGTGTGTTGTGTGCTAGTGGGAAAGAAAATATGAAGAGGTTGCCTTCAGATTGTCAATTATATAGCGTCGTTTTCACTGCAATATATGTGAACTCAATGAGATACATTATTCATTAGATGTGACAAGACGATCACGCGTGGGCGTGATTCACTTTATGTAAACAGGCAGCGCCGAAAGTTGATAGTGATAACTCGAGCTGCCGCTTTTCATGTGTGCTGTTGTGGACTGTGCGCGCTACTGGATCTGACACTACCGTGCAGCGCCGAAAGTGTGTTGTCGTGAGCATAAGTTGTTCTAGCACCATATGAATGAAAAGAACTATGTAGACGAGACAAACACAAGTAGTACTGCAGTAGTAATAGCAAAAGTAGTACTGCTTTACAAGTTTGTAAGCCAAAAGAAACGGTCACATAAGGACTGAAGAGGTAGAACACTACTGACGAGGCCTCTTACCCCTGTCCCTCCTACCCTGCGCCCTAATGTGCCCGTGGGAGTACGTGAGTCGGTCCGGGGGTACGGCACGGCCAACCCGTCCTGCCTGTACAGGTGTGACCTCTGGCTGCTCCTGAGTGTGCGCCTCTGGAGCTCCTCCAAGCTGAGAGGAGCCTAGTACGTCGTGGTGGTCTGCACCGTGCAAGTCGTCGTCGTAGAACTGGCTAGTAGGACCAGTCCTACCGGCTTGAGACGAAGAGGCCCCAGTACCGAAGATCCCGGCTGCAAATCCTGCTGGACAAGGACCATCAGTTTCGTACAGGTATTTAACAGTATTAATAAAAAGTAAAGTACCGTGTGGGCGAGGGATCGACGCTCCGTGAGAGGAAGAGCTGGCGAACGCGCCCGAAGAGGTGGCGAACGCCCCTGCGGAGCTCGTGGAAGCGCCGGTCGTGCCTGCGAACGCGCTCGAAGGCAGACGAGGTCCTGCGATGAGGAAACGTGCAGTTAAAACATGGTGACATAATCGTGCAAAAGCTGAAACAAAAATGAACTAATATCTGGGCTGAACTGTACCGTGCGAAACCGGTGCTGTAGGTCGCACTGATCCAAAGCTAGGGGCGCTCGAAGGCAAACGAGGTCCTGCGAGGATGGATCATCAAGTTACGACGGGGTGATGTTTTCGTACAAAAACAGAAACAAAACTTAAGAAACCTCTGGGCTGAGCAGTACCGTGCGAAATAGGTGCCGTAGGTCGAGGTCCTGCTCCGACGGTAGGCGCGCGAGGCCGTGGTTGTACCGGATCAGCTGGAGGTACGACGTCCACGGCGCTGCGACAGGAGAAGACGCGCATGACCGCACGCATCTTCTCCTGCATCCGGTCGAAGGTCACCCTCTGCTCAACGTCAGTCAAGTGCAAACCTCTGTTCAACCTCACTTGGACTGCGGTGATATCGGCACTGATATCCCGTGCGGCATCAGCCTATGCAAGATGGAAATAACAAATTCAGTAGTTGTCCTATATTATGCAAGATAAATGAAATAATTGTAAGAAGTAATACAAATTGGACGTACCGCCACGAAGTAGTCTCGGTCACGGTGCGTGGGATACGCGTCCGTGACAGCGGCAACGTGCGGCTCTGGGGCGTCTGGAGTGAAGGTCACACGCGCACGAGTGCGAGGAAGGTACCAGCGAAGGTAGTCACGGTAGTTCTCCTCCGTGTGTGGGAAGAGCTCGTTGATCACCTCCTCTGTAGCTAACACCCAGTCGTCAACGTACTGCTGTACACGTGGAGCCCAAAGTGCGCCTGCTAGCTGTCCCCGTCGAGTCAACCTGTGAAGAGAGGTAAATTATATGGCTCGATGAAGTAATTATCATAAAAATTTAGAAATGAACAATCCGAACTCACGAGTGGTCGGCAGGGAGGACGGTCGGCTGCACGTTGCCCGGAAACACCTGCCTAAGTCCGAACTGTCTCATCACACGCTGCGGGCAGTGAGGCTCAACGAAAATGTCGAACACCATCGGCAGGATGGTGAGCCAGTAAGCCTGGTCGCGTGTGCACAAGGACGAAAGTCCTAGCGGTGCTCTCGCAGCGACGGCCTCTTCTGTGTACGGCTCCCAGATGACGTCGCTCGGCTGGAGACGGTCAAACTCGAACACGAAGTCCGGGTAACCACGTCTCACCTGGACGTGAGCGTAACGACGCTGCAATAAACATGATCGGAATTAGACATGTTATGTGAAGAAAAAAAAAGACGACTGATAAACTTATAACGCAGCGAAGTTGCACTAACCCCACGTCGACACCAGTAAGTCCCCATCGTGGGACCGTCCTCTGGCCACTGCGCGCTGCGACCAACCCCGTAGGGTGCGCTGTCCACCACTGGTCGACCTATGGCAAACCTCTCGGCTGCCCAAAGCTGAAGCAACATAGGGCAGCCAGCGATGATCGCTCCCGCGTCAGTCTTCGTGCACGCCTCACAGAGGGCACGGTACGTGGCTGCTAGCACGGCAGAACCCCAGCTCCACTGCGGCACGTCCTGTGGCTGAGCATCCGCGATGGACCGTGCGTAGTGGACCAGCCGGAAGTCCACAGCGTGCCCGTGGGTGCTAGTGAACATCACCCACCCGAACAACCACAACAGGTACGCCTCAAGGGAGCGTCGGACCGAGTAATCATCAGCGTCAGGGTGCAGAAGGTCCGCCTACAATTAAGAATGAAATGTTAGTACAAAACACTCATTCGGTCGCAAATAAGCACGTATGATAATAACAACTTATTTACTTACAGTGAACTGGAGCAACCAAGCCTTGCTAGGCCCGACTGTAGAGTACGGAGGAAGGGTGGTGGTCGGTCCTAGGTGTGGAAGGCGCATCACCTGCTCGAAGCGCGCAGTGATATCCTCCTTCCACCCAAAAACACCGTCCACGGGACCAACTGCTGCTCCCGCCAGCGGTAGCCCGAGCAGGTACGACACGTCCTGCAGTGTCGGAGCCATCTCCCCACAGGGAAGGTGGAACGTGTGCGTCTCAGGTCTCCAGCGGTCTATAAGAGCGGCAAGGAGTGACCGGTCTGCATCCCACCGCTTCGCTGGGTCACGGTCGTCCGCCGCCGCCTCAACAAGCCTACAAAGTGGTAGAAGGCCTGCCGCACGCAACCTGTATAGAGCAAACTTCAAACATAAGTACAACACAAAGCAAAGTTGAGTTGAAATGTGAACATACGCGTACCAAGGAACGTGACGGGGGTCGACACGCAACCACTCGCGCGACGTGCGTGGACGGAAGGTGCCGAGCTGTGCACCCTCGACTGCTGACAGGAACGAGCGGTGGTTCTTGTCAATCCCACGGTTCAACAGCGCCGGTGTGTCGTACGCCATACCTGCATCAAATAGGTTGATCAGAAACATATAAATAATTAGTTCAACATAAGTAATAAATGTTCATAAGCGAATTACTAACACATATTAAACAAGAGTACAAACAAACAAAAGTGTTTAGTCCGAACACTCATCACGATAACATTATGATACAACACCGAATAATTCGCAATACTACTAGTACAACAATAGTCGGAGGTACTCATTACAACAACATTGAATTGAAATTACACGATAGAAGTATTTAGTCCGAACACTCATTACATCACAACAGCATTTTATTTCCTAAATCGAAAGCATTGTTACACCATGGAATCGCCTGCTGCGCGACGACGCCTTGGTCTTGCGCGCCTGCTTGTTGTTCCTTCACCAGGTGGTCGCCTACCATCACTTGCCTGTCCAGATGGACTAGCATCTGCGCCGCTTGGAACTTCTGCATTCTTCGGGCATTTCTTGTAAGTATGGCCGAGCAGATCACACTTGCTGCAGCGTAAAGTCCTCCCACCTGCTTCTGACTCATCCATATCATTTCTGATGCGTCTAGTTTGGCGTCGACCCTTTTTCACCCTTAACTTAGATGGATCTGGAATATAAAAAACTTGGGCACTCAGCGTTGTGTAAGATCCTGAGATCCCGAACCCATATA